ACCGCCGCCGCCGCCACCGCCGCCGCCGCCGGCGGGGGGAGTTCCGTTCCCTCCCGTGCCTCGCTTTAAAGCTATTCCTCCGGAGATCAAATGGCGAATGATCAGACTTTTTGGAGTCTTCTGTTTCGTGACCTTCATTGTACTGACGGTTCTCTGTAAGTTCTGCTCCTCCTGCCCGTTCACCCTCCTCCAGAGACGGCTGGGTTTCTCTCGCTGCAAAAGGTCTCCAGCCAACCCTGCTGAAAATCGGGGTGAGGAAAGGGCGGGGGGCGGCGTTGGACACCTCTGCCCTTCTCTATTTAGTAAGCCTGGGGAGGGGTTCTGCAGCCTTATCGATAGGATATGGTGCGTGTGTGTGTGTGTGTGTGTGAGAAGAGATGTAGAAAGCCTGTGTGATACAATCAGGCACGCCCACATGTTCTTGCAGTGAGCTTCTAGGGTTGCAGACAGGAGGTCTTCTGCAGCCCTCTTGGGGGTCGGGGAGAGCGAAGCCAGGGTAGCCAAGGCTGCGAAGGGCATAGCTCAGCGTTGGTTTCCCGTAGTCCTTGAATGCACAGCTGGAATTCTAATGTGGCAGTGCGCTGGCAGTGCGAGGGGGGATTAATCTGGGGGTCCTGACTCTCTCACATTCTCTTGACTCCCGTGGTCCAGATCTCCTCTTGCCAGCAAGGGAAATGGAGATCCAGGGCTGGCTTTGTGCCAATATTCATCCCTCCTGGGTTGCTCCATCCAAGGAGAATCTGCAGAATCTTCCCGCCTCAGGGGCCTGGCCATGCACCAGCCATGGGGGCACAGAGAATGGCCCCATGTCCTCACTGCCCTTTGAGGATGGGGCAACGAAAGCCTTGACTTTCCTTTCATGGAGGGTGGCCCTTTCAACCCTCCCCCCCCCCCAGTTGTGTGCAGGTGTATGCTTTCCAGCAAAGCTAGGCATGTTACTAGGCCCCTGAACATGAGACATCATGGCTACCATCCAGCAAGGGTAATGTCCTTATTCCTGGTCTGTGGTGGAGGAAAAGCACCACAGAGATGTAAGGGAGGCAAATCTGTCAAAGGGAACCACTTTGGATGGTTTTGGATCATAGCGAGCCTTGGATGTGGGGGCCAGTTTGTAGAAGGCTGGTAGGGAATGCTGTCATTCCATGTCATGTCATTCCCTCCCTGGGGGCCTTTGGGGAGGAAGATCTGAAATTTAATTCTGGAAACTGTAGGGCAGTGTTGTCCAAACTTGGCCACTTTAAGATGAGTGGACTTCAACTCCCAGAATCCCCCAGCCAGCAGGGCGGGCTGAGGAATTTTGGAAATTGAAGTCCACTCATCTTAAAGTGGCCAAGTTTGGACAACACTGCCCTACAGTTTCCAGAATTAAATTTCAGATCTTCCTCCCCAAAGGCCCCCAGGGAGGGAATGACATGACATGGAATGACAGCATTCCCTACCAGCCTTCTACAAACTGGCCCCCACATCCAAGGCTCGCTATGATCCAAAACCATCCAAAGTGGGTCCCTTTGACAGATTTGCCTCCCTTACATCTCTGTGGTGCTTTTCCTCCAACACAGACCAGGAATAAGGACATTACCC